AATACGAGCTCCTTCGGTGACCACCGTCGAGCCGAACAAGCATGCCGAGCAACGAACGAGCTGAATCTATCGTGTGCGTGCACGCGGCGCGATTCAGACTATAGACTCGTTTAGTTACGCAAGCTTTGGGGGAAGGATTAGGTCCTTTTTCCATTCGAGTGCCTCTCGTCGATACAGGTTTCTTTCACTCCTAGAAGGAGCTTGGGATTGGCCCTCGAAGTACCTCGATTGTTCCCTGCGTGGAAATTAAATGGGAAAAAAACTAAAAAAATCGACTATCCCTACGGTGGACCAACAGCTCAAACTGTCGTATATCTTGTCAACCCGTTTGATCGAGCTCGACGCCGATCTTCTTATATTAATTACGTGGCGTAGCAGCAGCGAGCAGCGATTAAAATTCTTGCTCCACTTTGAGAGGGTTTTATCACTCAGAGCGACGACATTTCCGTGTAAACGCGGCTCTTGCGTGTATTTCCAATAATTTACAGATACGGCGCCTCGAATGCGAAACTCTGCTCGTATTTTACGCACACGGGGGTAAATCATAATCGCGATGTTATAAATTGCGTTAATTACCACTTGATTTTTTGAAAATTTATTAGCCACACGCGCAACCTCGTTTGCGAATAAATTATTAGCGCACGAAGTCGTTACAGTGAACACACGGAGAATTAAATCATCGCAAGGAAGTACCGGTAAACGAAAATTCAATGTGGTCACATCTTAATCGGGATGTTACGGTGGAATGTCTTCCTTTTTTTTTTAGTTCGCCTCGTTCCGGTTGACGCTGGCAAAGTCGCGAAACGTCAAAGAGACACGATAGCGTTTCGTCCGGTGCACAAGTAATCGTTTCCAGCGCAATCGCACCGCGGCGTATCGTGTGGCATCCTCCGCCGCATACTTGACGTCGCGTATCGCATGCAAACGAGATAAATGATATACCACTTTTATTTGTTTGAAATGCTCGCATGCTTTGATCTTATTTTCTTCAAACACTCCGTTGCGCATCGAAGCGATTTTCTGAAATTACTTCAGGATGCTTGCTCCAATTTTCATTACAGATTCAATTCGTTGACCGTCAAGGTGTCCAAGTACTTGTTGGCTCATTTTAATTTATCTAACAATGTGTGTTGAAATTTTTTTGTATAATTTCTGTCCATACACCTAATACTGGCGGAATGTCTTTAACTTGCGATCGGTTCAATGAAAGTAGTTTATGCTTCAACAAACCGGTGCAATTAATTTACCTCCAGTTGTAATTAATGTACGATAATAGTAAAAATAAATCACATTAGATTGGATAAAATTAACAATCAACAGAAAAACACAATGATGATTCACAGGCAAAAACTACATTAAACTTTTACATTAGAGTTATTGGATGAAGTAGTCGCAACTATAAGACTCAGTTATGAGTTTTATTAGGAACCAGTAAGTATTAAAGTATATCGAAGACATAGTAATATTATGTACTGTAAACGACAATAAAATTTGGTTATGAATAATTAATCAAAATGAATAATTAAAACATGGCTAAAAGCACAAGTGACAATAGACTCTTCAAAACTAGGCTATTTATTAATGAAAAAATTAAACACAAGCATTTAGTGTTTTCTACAGACACATATTAGTTGAAACATCTGCGTCCACAGTAGTACAGTGGCTTAGGCTAAAGTTCTTGTAACTTGGTTACACAAGTTTCGGCTTTTACTTACTTAGTCCACACTTCCAAATTATTTTCTTATGCGTGTATTCCGATCGTAGTCCAATGTAAAGTAAAAAGTCTCCATTGTTTCTCGCACTATCGTATCTCTCGGTATTTCACGCAATCTAACGTACAAAACCCCTTTCATGTCACCAAGTCCGAGTCCAATGTAGGAATAATACGCATGGATTCGTGAAGTTGTTTCCTCCTGTTGTCATTGACGACTTTCAGATCGATTTACCTATTTAAGTTCCGTCAACATATTGCATCACAATAAGCACACATGATACCAAGGACCACCTCTCTATAGAACAACTTTGAATTCTGCAGCTACGACGAGAAAGCGAGCGAGTGACACACCTATGATAAAGGGCTCTATATATAATTAATCGACTACGTCCGATGTGCGCTTCGTGCCTTTGCATTTCAGATCAGATACTGTGTACACAGTCACAATGTGTATACTCTGTGTGTATATAGCCAAAGTAATCTACCGAAGGACACGCATGGATCGCCAAGTGGTGCATCATTTGCAAGCTAATGCCCTACCTACCACTTTTTTCTTTTTTTTTTTTTTTTTTTTCCTCCTTGATGATACGTACTTGCGCCGCAGTGCCTGATTATAACTCACGTCTTTCACTCCCCGTGTACGTAGCATCCTCGCCAAAGTTTTTTGTTCTCACGTATCCCTGTCGTTAGCCCTTTGAAAATCATTTTCTCCTTCCTCTCTTCCGACAGGCGTATCGCTATTAATAATAAATACTCGTTTGCGCGATAGCCAAGATCATGCGGCTCTTTAATCAACGGCCGTAATGAACCATCGATTATGTCCCCTTGTAACTCATTGTCCACCCCAAGTCGACATGTATGTCCTGTGTTTACCACGTATACACATGTCTGCGTCATTAAGTACGGAACACTCCCCCGGCGTCAAAAGGGCAATGATATCGGCGCACTTGATCTTCAATAATGCCCTGATTTCTCAGTCCCAAGTACCCACGCGTAACCCATCATTTCCCATATAAATCTCGTCGTGCTCTCTAAAGCGTAGGGTACCAACCACGTACGTATCGAGTACTGGTAGCAGAAATAAAACAAAAAAAGGACGCGAAATCACACACATGGGAGCGTGTCGTCGTCTTTGGTAAACTCATATTACGTCGTCTCCTTCATCGGCGAAGGGAGCAGCAAGCAAGTGGTCACGCTCGATCCGGCAAACCAGTTCGTTAATAGCTTAATTTCCGCCGAACGGACGTACGGCACCGTCCGAAGTCCTCCCTCCCGTGTACATTGGTATAGGGAGGACAGTGTACCTTCTCTCGTCATGCCGTCATCGTCGCGTCTCTTCCCAGGTGTTTTTCTCCCCAACATCTCTCTCTCTCTTTTATAAACGACACGATGGCCGCCTGGTCACACGTCCTGCATGTCCAACCCTCCTATCCTTTTCTTCTTCTTCTTCTTCTTATCATCAGCTTTGATAATACTCGAGTACTCGATGCGACGCTGCTCATCATGGGTATTAATGCATCATTCAAGTGGCGTATTAGCGTGGCTGTATACCCATGTGTATGCACACACGTGCAATCAATCAATAAACCATTTGCATGCTGATGTCCATTAGTCAATGCTACGTCTCGTAAATACAACAATAATTTCAAGTGATTTAATCACAGCTGTGTGGTTAATGATACATCAATTCGTTCACTCATTGATATTTAGTAGTGTAAGTATACATGTGCTTTATCCCTTTTTATTATGTGCAGTAAAATTTATCGATTACTGAAATATGACCTGATTCCCTAAATAAAATTCTACAATGAGAATATATGCGTCGAATAAAAGAAGAGATTTTCTTTATTTCTATACGTAGTTCTCCAAAGACAGATTCTAAATCTATCACGGACGTAGGTTTTCAAGGATTCCAACATTTATTTCTTATTGAAAAATATTGGTAAGATGCATGGGATTGTAACAGCAGCATTTAAAAAATCAATGTGAGTAAAGTATTATTATTACAAAAACTGAAAAACGTAAAATTTTAACAAATGGAAATATTTTTAAGAATCCATTTTACTTTATCTCTATCTTAATAATTATCTGTGAATGACTTGAAATCTCCAGATTATTGCCCAAGTTTTTCGTGCACATTTCTCTCTTCCTCATTTCCCTTTACTATTATCAATAAAAATACTGATATCTTTTTGATACTTCCAAAATGTTCAAAAGACTTTGAAACACTTTAAATATTATAGCTTTTCTTGAATTTGACCAAATATTGTATTTCCCGTTCTTTCTCGGAAGGCAATTTGTTGCAATTTTCTACATCGTTTTCAGATTGAGAAAAACTCACACATGAATATGTTATTGAAAATAGGCAGATGCACACTTACGAGTGATTCGACTTAACTATGGTGCATTTTTCCTGGCTCTGTTGCTACTTTAAGATTGGTGTTACTCTGACCGTACTTGGAGCACATTAAAACTAATGTAGAAATATTTAGTCCATTCGCCAGATGCACAACACGCAGCGCTCCACGTTGTAGTAAAAATTGGTAATCTGGTCAATGAAATGAAAGCTACGATCAAACATAACAGTATTTTCAGTTGAATGTTTTAGTATAACTTTAATGAATAAATGTGTAAGTTAAATGATTATTGAAAAAATTAGATTATCCTTTGATAGCAGTGAAAAAAAACGAGCCAAGAATAAAGAGTACGTTGCCGTAGGCTGGTATGGTAACCGACACTACCGACAGTGAATATGTATAGCAATACCAGCAGTTATGTTAACTAAGTCGTGATTTTCAATTACTACAAGCATATCATTTATTTAATCTTGGATATGTCCAAAAAATACACGTCATTGATGGATACGGATTTCAGTGATTAGAAACAATTCAATTGGACAATAATAGCTTCTGATTTGAAACGTATTTCAATGTATTAACAACCGGTGATGAAACTGAGTCGTCGAGTTTGCTCACCACGGGCGCTTCGATAGATTTAACTATCTCCTCCACATGTACCTGACGAACAAGAGATAATTGTGGGGAATACTATCTTATGAAACATACGAATAACTTTTGTCTTATCTCAAAGATAGTGAAGTTGGGAGTGTCTAATTACTTATTTTTCTTTTCTTTGGTACACATGCATTGATACTTTCATATTGTATAAATACAGCCGCTTGAGGAGGGACGTCCATTGTTAAGAGGATTGTCCAAAGCCAGTGTAACTAATTAGATGTTAACTTTAAAAGAAAGCATACTTACTATTTCACTGTACTCCTTCTGAGATGGCTCGTTTTAAACTTCTTTTGGCTGTTCTAGTGATTCAAGGTTAGTTTGTCAATCAACAGATCAACAGTGTTTATGAATTTCAAAAGATTCCAATCAATCATATGTATTGTGTGTGTAGTAAATTGTAGTAAAAACGGCAAGAGATCGATGATTTTTGATCTAGTTTTTGTGATAATGACTTCGGTTACCCTGATGCCACAAATATCACTGAGTGTGTATGGTATAATTTAAAAATAATATTTTATGTTTTGTTAGTTTTTAGGGCTCACTCAAAGGAAGATGGTACGAGACTATTTCCGTATTTGGTATTAATAAGGGACACATCAACAAATAGTGATGTTTGTCGTTACAAACGGTGCTCTAATTAGTAAAAATTTTGTCGTAACGTGTGCAAGCTGCATCAAGTATCTATCGATTCACGAGGAAATTGTTGCTGGAAGTGCATCGGTTGACAAAAATGACTGGCAGACAATCCCAATCGATAGTACTGTTATTCATGAAAATTATACAAAAAGGTAAGTTACATGTAAGTAATTATCTTGTGAGTATAAGATCTAACAAAATGTAACGAAATATTTTAGTGATTCTCGTGATGATATTGCACTCGTGAAATTACTACATAGAGTGATAATCTCCAGTTCAGTAGGACCTATCAGTCTTCCTACCTTTGATCAGTCAGTGGACCAAAGTATGAACATGATATTGACGAAAAATGTTAAAAGTCTGTCGGAAATAATAGTAAAATATATCCCTGTCAGCGTTATAGACACGGATACTTGTAAAAAACGGATTAAAGGCAAGTTACATTCGATAGTGCGTGAAAAGCAATTTTGTATCAAAAGCGTCGACGATAAAGATACTTCAGAGGTATACGTCAAAATTTGGATATATTTCATAAAACTCAAGTTGATGGTTATGTTAGTTGAGATCTTGTAACTTTTCACAGATTTCGTGGGGCAGCATCATTGTTCAAGAGAACAGAACCGTATTAGTCGGATTGACCTCTAGTAATGGTGTTATGGTCACACAGATTTCATCGTACGTCAATTGGATTCAAACCCAAATGGAGAAAAGTACTTTGCCACCTCAGGTGTTTCTTTTAACGCATGGGCAGCGATGATAATTATTATAGCATGTTCGACTTATGGTATATTTTATAACGAAGACTTGAGGTGAATTTCATAAGTGTGCAAAATATTACTAAAATTTCGTTATCCTCAAACGCTTTGAATTACATAATCTCGCACTAAACGATTTGACCTTTTTTAGATCAATTCTTTCAATACTTATCGTACATATGCAAGTACAGTAACAAATTACACAATTATATTTGATAATCTAACGTATCATATGATTTGCAGTTTAAGTACACGTACCTACAAATCTAAATACTGAATTTCTAACTATATTTAATTATAAATTTATGAGCAAAAATTTCAAAACATTGTTACTAAAAATTCACCACACGTTTATTATCGTCATTAAATATTTTTGAAAGAATTTTAAGAATTTTTCAGAAAACTCGTTTAAATTCAGATAACAGTAGAAATTCGAAATTCACTCGTGCCACCTTGAAAATGTGAAATTTGTGTATCTATTGAAATAGTTTCACAGAAGAACTATACTATTTTTAAGTGCAGCTTACTGAAAGCTACACTATATTTTTACATCTAGTACATGAATGTAAGTACATTGGTGCATTAAATATACATGGCTACACAAAATATAACCACATGGTAATTGATAAAGTATAACAAGGTAGTAGAAGTTTTTTGTTATGCTGCAATGACAACCATCATTGTAATCATTATAATCAGTTTTGAAAGTTGTATATTTCAAAAGCACTTTACAACCAGATATGCAGTGTAAACGCAGCGTTTTAACCGTAAAACACATTTTGAAGCCTAATTCTGGAAAAGGTGCAATCTTCTCAGGTAAGTAGTAGTTTTTTTGGTAATTCAAAGACGTGCATCAACAAAAAAAGTTATTAGGATTTTGGAGGTGAAGCAACAGTGAAACATGGATGATGTGAACTGTAATATTTATAATAGTTGTATTACTGTAACATTTAAAACGAAGCATCGGTGATTTCTATCTGGATAAAAAAGTAAAACTTTTAGACTGAGGGAAATACATGACAGATGTCTGATGTGGCTATTTCATTTGCAATTGCGGCTACTGAATTAGATTAAACGTAAGAAAATAAAAACGCAATCGTGTGCTTGTCTTGTGTACATACACGCTTGTCCTTCTAAATAGTTAATAAGATAAACGATGTAGGATCAATATTAACACGGTCTACGATTAACGCTTCCAGCAACTCGTGCACTAACTAATGTATTTTTGTGTACTTTTATCTCGTACCGTCATCATGTGCTGGAGATTACAACTACAGTGGTTTTTACCAAAACTATCAGAGTTGCATGGTAAAAAAAGTAATGATGACAATGTTTCATCATAAAAATTTTCATAAATTTGAAAATTGGATATCGTTTTGTTCTCCAGTTGTTTTTCGAATTAGTTATCTTGTTCTTGTCTTAAAATACAATCAACACATTGTCATTTCAAATTTGTTTTACGTCACATTTTGGCTTCACGATATAGAAAAAATCAATTCAACTCTACAATATAAAATAAATCAATTCAAGTTTGCGAAATAAAATAAATCAATTAAGTTGATAAATAAAAAACAATTTAGCCCTGGATATTATTGTCCACTGGAATAATCATAGACTGAGCAACCCAATTCTTCGAATCAAAGAAAATTTTTTTTTACCTTCACTCCGTTAAACATCCTCTTATACGAATAAAAAAATATAAGCTTATTAAAAACAATATTTTATTGAATTAAAATTCATTTTTTTATTATTAATTGATTATATAAGATTTTTTTTAATTAAAAAAAACATTCAACAGAATGAGGGTAAAGAAATTTTTTATGACTCAAAGAATCAGATTGCTGCTCAGTATAGTGAAAAGAAACAGATATTGCGTATTGATTTATTATATGAAGCAGCCTCAGCATCCGGAGTCTTTCAAAGAGGCTAATTTAATTAAATCGGCCCTTCAACAAAACTAAAGCATAAAGTTATAATAAATAGAGAGACCAAGTATCCCAAAAGGGAATTGCTTTTAAGAGCAAGATGCGAGACCAAAATTGCTATTTACCTCCCTCTCGTAATTAAGCTGTTAATCTTCGCTCAAGCTTTAAATGATAAAAACAGAGGGAAAGAGAAATAAACGTGTAAATTGTGCTGCATTTCTTTCTATCAAGACAACGCACGAACTTACTTTCGTGAGGGTCGGTAGCTTATGGATGATTATCAAAATTCAACCATTAATATCAATTATTCATGATTTTTATTATGAGCAAAAATCATTTTTATGATATTTTAAGATTTACATTGATCACACAAATGAAAATTGAACCCCATCTCTAACCGCGTACGTCTTCAGAGCAAACCCCATATTTTCCAATGTAATGCACACAAACCCACGGGTATATGCATACACATCTCTTTAAAAATCAGTATCATTTATAAAGCGAAAGCTCTCGTCTGGATAAGATCTCTCTTTCTCTTGTAACGACTCCACGTTTGTTTCATACGCAGAAGAGGCAGAAAGAAAGAAAAAGCCATTATCATTTGCCCCATACGACTTTTATGGGCCTATTAGTTATTCCCGCGCGCGGTAGTCACTGCAGTGCGCAATACTGAAATCAGATGTCCAATGTGCTCTCTCTTTTCTCTCTTTGCATTTGTGCTGCTGCTATTGTTGCTGCAATGAGAGAGTAAAAAAGAGTGAGAACCTTATAAAGTAGAGGAAGGTAAAAAACGAAGAAGGACCGAAGAGCAAAGCCGGAAATATGTGGGAGAGCGTGTAAGTGCACTCGACGTGACTTAATTTGTTCAGCACGAAATTCAAAATGCTCGTCATTATTTACCACATGCAACGACTAATATCAGCATAATATTCATAAATTAATAGTACAACAGTAATAACTGTGACGTTAACAACCAACTGAGCGCAGTTGTGAACGGTTGCTTTGTGGTTATGGTTTTTATTAGGTCGTGCATTTCTTTACTGGAACAATTGGCAGATGGAAGTTAAAAAGCACGAAAATAACTTATCTCCCGTATATATAGTCCTGTACCTTCCTTTCTTTAATTTTCATTAGATAAAATTTAAGTGGTGCGGTAATTTTTTTTTTGTGTGGATGAATTGCAAAAGAGTAGTTGCTCTTTCAAGCGATAAACAGCTTTATACCATTATAAATATTATAATTTCTTCTATCTATTTTAGATTAGAAAAATACATCTTTATGAATCATCTCGATAAGTATCATTTTGTTCTTCAATATTTTCACTTAGTGATGAGTTTGTTTCATGCAGTATAAGTTTAAGTATAAGTAGCATTTATTAAGCCAGGTGGTGCGACCACGTATGGCTTCAAATTTGAAATACAATATGATATATAATAACAATAATAACATCATAATAACAAAAATATGACAAAGTATACGAGCAGTAAACGATGTATTACCATCTCTCAACTTTTGTATCCTTGATTGTACTTTTAATCCCATTCAAAATGGACAGACCTACAGCTATTTCAGCATACGCTTGGCCACGCCTAAGATACATAAAAGCTGAAGATATTTGGTCACAAAAAGCTACTTGGGTATAGGCTATTAGAATAAAAATGTACATACTATTTGAGTCTTATTTTGTAGATAACGCATACCTAATCAGATAGAGTCCACTTTTTCCTACTCTTTTTCTCCACTATACTTACATTGGTTGATAAGGTTATTCGTATTCTAAAGCATTTGTGGATACAACAGTTTACTTCAAATTATAACATTTCCACAGTTCCACTTAATTCCTTCCATGATGGCTTGTTTGAAGCTTCTTTTGGCTCTTTTGATGATCCAAGGTAGGTGTTTGTTATTGCAACTATAATTTTGATCCACCGATTTAAGGATATTCAAATAACTGTTACGAAAATGGTATTAGAAGTCGATGTTGAGTGCATCTTGATCAAAAGATTTTTTTCCACTGATTATTTTAACCCTCTCACTGAGTTTATAAGACTTTTTAAAAATATTTTAAATAAAATTTAATTGCGTAGTGTTCCTGTGTTAATATTGCACCATTTTATTTATTAAGAAAATTTCTTTCTCAAATGGTACCTTCGATTGTGTACCAGCACTTCGTATTTGAATATGTATTCGTGATGTTAGAGTAGACTCAACTCTTTTGAAGATATTTTGTATAGAGCCTATACAAAAAAAATCCTAACGGTAAGAAGTCGATTTCTGCAATTGAAAAAAACAGTTTTATGATCTATCTAAGTCGATTTCTGCAATTGAAAAAAACAGTTTTATGATCTATCTAAGGAAAAATCGAGCAATAAATTACATAACTGACTACACGACACGTGAGCACATAAATGTATGTTATGCATGTGTATATTGAACTTCAATAGCAAATTCTGTCTAGAAGTCCAAGAGACTCCACTTAACCCTTCGAAAAAGTACCATGCAATTTTCTCATCGGACTCCCCCAGTCATGTTGTAATACGTACAACAGCGATACTTTTTTTCCCAGTTCAGGCATACTTTATAACATTCGCGTGAGGCCTGAGCTTTTGCTCACTCGCGAGAGGGAGTGATCCATGGTTTTGATAACATGCACCTAGAGGTGGGGTGTATACATAGTTCCAGCAATAGCAGGCACCCCCCTGGGTCGATATGAATTTTCTTGTATCATTGAATACACACACGTGACTGACATGCATGCGCGTACCAAATGTATGGGCAGGGTATACAGAGGGGAGCCTATGATGGTGCATTGACTCTCTTAACACCAGACGATATACATATACAGGGCAATGGTTGAGTCGTGTATGGATATGGGGACGGATTAGAGATCGATTTCATGAGGGCTGATGAATATTTTAATGACTTTTAAAGTGAATTTGGCTCAAAATTTTATTTTGTTTCGCTTTTGGCATAAAAAAATGAGACAGAAAGTTTATCCGTTTGATTGGTACTTGAACGTCCTTTTGTATGTAAGAACTGTGAGTACAAAGATGTTTACTGAATCACATCGCTCTGTACGATCGAAATAAGACCAGAACAAAAATACTCGATCGAAGAAAACCACTTTGTTCCAAGTGCAGCGATGAATCATACCTGCCCACGTACATAGCTTGCCGGTACAAATTTTTCGCGAAACGCAAATTTTTTTCATCCTCTCGAGCAACGAATAATACCAGCGAGACAGACTTGCCCCTCCTTTGTATGTACACCCAAGCCAAGACGTCAAAAGCCATTGTCTGACCAAAGCGCAAGAACGCAAAGTCATCGCATCTCAATGGCCGCGTG